CATGTAGCCTGGCCGCCAACGTTAGCAGCGACTAGCAGCGGGACGGACCCATCCGCGGCGGCCCGGTTAACGGGCGGACAGTCACCGGTCACCTGCTTAACGTGAGTCTTTCTGTCAGCGGACAAACTATGAGAGTTACACTGGTTATCGGTGTGAATCAGCGGGCCACTCGGTGCTCTCCGCTCCGCTCCGCTGCTAACATTTTACCGGACACAGCAACTCTCCGGCGCGGCGGCTCCTTTACTTTATTCCCGCTCCTCCAGAACGTGTCCGCTGCTCCGGCTCTTTCCTCCGGACTCTCTGAGACAGCAGCTCTGACCCCGGCCTCTGGACAGACGGGCAGTCACCGAGGTAGTAGCCGGCCACGGTGAGCTACAGTCGATTGTTGTGACTCCGGTGTGCGGTACCGTAGACTGTGGCGGCTGGGCATGCGCAGTGGGCAGGCTCTGACGTACATGGGCGGGGCTCCTGATAGGAGTGGCTACAGGAGACGGTGCGTGGCAGTTACGTCTGCTGCCCCCGGCGTCCACCAGCGATACAGGCTCAGTGAAACAGATTCATACGTTCACTGTCTCACGTCATCACGCTGCCTCCTGACTGCAGGAGATTGGTGAACTGGGCACCTCCCAGTCTGAGACTGTGTGGACTGAGAGCCACAGTACACTCCTGTCCTGTCTGTAGACCGTCTGATCCAGATCACAGAAGATTACCTCAAGTCCTGAACTCCCTGCCCCCCCAGACGACCCCACAGTGACAGTGTAGCCTCTGTTTGATTCAGGGTTGTTGCGTACGTGGGTTGATTTGTTTCATGTTTGCTCATTGAAAAAAAATTAAAGTTAGAAAACAGAATATGAACTAACAGAAAATGATGTGACACCAGGAGAGAAATGACATTACAGCAGACAACAGCTATATAACAACATATATAACAACAGCTTATGTTGTTGAGTTGTGTTCTTACATCATCACAAATGTTTCCATCAATTCTTAGACCAGAGAAATCTGTGATTTTAATCATGGTAGCGTTTCATTGGTCACCTGTTGATGACATCATATCCTCTATGGTCATGTGTCAGTGTGTTTGTCTGACAGAAACTCAACATTGACTTTTATCTAGTTTTAAGTCACAGACACTTTTTCCACCTCTGTGGTTTCCAGCTGGTTATTTGAAGCAGATGATTTTAGTCGTCAGACGTCTGGATCTTTATCAGAGAAACAAGCTGCTCTTTAGTCTTAGTTGTGATTGAGACTCTTGAGGCAGAAGTTACAGATTGAGAGTTTATCACTGAGCTGATGAGGCCTCTGACTGTTTGTTGCTATCCAGCACATTTCTGTTGTTGTTGTTGTTGTTGTTGTTTATGTTTATCACCTCTTATCTGTGGAGTCTGTGTAAACAAATAAAATCTAAATCTACATCATGTTTCTTTCATCAGAGAGAAGACCTCACAGAAGAACAAGAGGAATCTGTGTGTGAACTAAAACTGATTGTGGCACCAACAACAGTCCCATAGATTCATATAAATATTCTATAACATCACTGAGTCTATTCAACATGCACTAACATTAATGTCTTTATGCAGACGTTCAGCCTCTGTTTGAATGTTATGTATTTACAGTTACAGTTTCAGACTGTTGAAGAAACCAAGCAGCTTATGAACATCAGTGTTAAAACCAGAAGAAAAATAAATAATAAAAGAAATACCAACAAAAAAGCTTGGGAGTAAGTTTTGCTCATTTATCATGGCAACAGTTGCTGCTTCTGAAAGATGCTGATACGAAACCATGGTTACAAAAAACTTGCGACAGTTCCTGTTTCCTCCGGAAAGAGGGAAGTTCCTCCTGAAGCCTCCACCTTAAAGAGGAGTGTGAGCTCAACTACAAACAGAGCTACACATTAAGAAGCTGACAGACAAACTGTCAGCTCATCATCATCATCATTATCATCTGTCTGTTTTAGATCTAAGATGTGACGTCATGTTCATGTCAAAGTTCAAACTCTCACAGCAGAGAAATGAGCAGAGACTCAGTCTGATGACGTTTATATTGTTTATTTACAGCTGAACATCAAGCCAACATAAGACTGAAGAGACACTCAGCGTCCAGCAGAGGGCGGCAGAGGGCAGAGGAGGGGACAGGAGGGGTTTGATGGGGTATGATGGTGTATCAGAGGGGACAGGAGGGGTTTGATGGAGACTGTATCTCATTTTTCAGGTATCTCTGACTCTTGAGCTGCAGGATCCAGACCTGACACAATTACTCAACACACATATTATCATTATTATTGTTATCAATTGATGCATCAATTGGGTATTGATGCATTGATGCATTGATGTATTGATGTATTGATCTATTGATATATTGATAATAATCACTTCTTTACCTGAGGTTTTCTGTCTGTTCATTACAGAAATTATTAAAGCAACTTTACAGCGAATATAAACTGAAACTGTTCAAGTCTTAAAACCAGATTTTACCCCTGTACAAAACCAGGACCATGGAGGATGGGGGACTTGATTTAAATTGGTATCAGGGGGTATTAGAGGGTAAAGGAGGGGCATGATAGGGTATCAAAGGGTAGAAGAGGTGTATAAAGATATTTAGAGGGCATTAGAGATAACTGTTGACAATGGAGGTTACAGGAGGGGTATGGCGGGGTATCAGAAGATAAACTCTATAGGGGTATCTCAGAAAATGAGGGGTATCAGAGGATTTTAGGATGCATGAGTAGATATCAGATGGTATTGGAGGGTTTAAGAGGGTATGGAGTAGGATCAGAAAGTATAATGGGGTATTAGAGGATTTTAGAAGGCATCATGGATATCATAGGGTTAGGGTTTAAGAGGGGTACCAGAGTGCTTAAGAGGCAATGTGGGGTATCAGGGGGTATCAGATAGATACTGATCTGTGATCAGAAATACCTGATCAGCTATTTGAACATGACGTCCTGTCATTCAGATTATACCCTGATTCTCCCCCATCAGCCTGGGTAGAAGGTATCGTGGGGTATCAGAGGGTATCATGGGGAATCAGAGTTTATTGTGGGGTATCATGGGGTATCACAGGGTATCAGAGGGAATCAGGGGTACGAATGTGGCCTTCAACCTGCTGCAGTGAGACTGAGCTGAAGACAACTGAAGAGTTTGTTTAATAAATGATGAAGCACCAGGCAGTAGTCAGTTAAGCTTCAGGTGAGTTCATACACCTGTTCACACCTGGACTTCCTGTGTGAGAGACAAAGACGAGGCAGAGGTCACGTTGATCCTCCTGACGCAGTTCAGACCAGTCCACTGGTGAATCAGGTTTGGTGATAAAGGAACTCTGGTGTTTTTCTGGTCCAGATGTTCTGTAGTAAATGTTCCACACGTTCCCCGGACAGACGTGACATTCCCCCTTCAGCTCCACGGTTCAGATCCAGCTCAGAGTTTGTGGCTCAGCTCTCATTTCAGCATACAGCATACAACACTGCTTCAGTTCAGTCACATGTTTACTGACCAGGTTTTATATACACACCTCTGTCTGTGAGGACAAACTGTGATCCAAACCTGCATCACTCAGAACATGAACATCACACCTGGTCTTTACTCTGTATGTCACACATCAAAGTTTTCATTTCATATCTGAGGTTCAGGAGGAGAGGACTGAGGTCCCAGAGGAATCCAGATGCTGGACTCTCCCCTAAAACCGTGACCAGAGTGGGCTGCTGTGAGACCATAACTGGTCTGATCGTCTTAAAAATATATCAAGTTCAGTGTCTGTTGAAAAACTTTAGATGGACAGTGAACGTGGTCTACAGCAGGTCTGATGGACTTAGGGTCTGAGGGCCTGATGGTCTGAGGGTCTGATGGTCTGATGGTCTGATGGTCTACAGCAGGTGTCATGGTCTAAAGAGGGTCTGAGGGTCTGAGGGTCTGATGGTCTGATGGTCTGATGGTCTGATGGTCTGAGGGTCTGATGGTGTGAGGGTCTGATGGTCTGATGGTCTGATGGTCTGAGGGTCTGATGGTGTGAGGGTCTGATGGTCTGATGGTCTGATGGTCTGAGGGCCTGAGGGTCTGATGGTCTGCGGGTCTGATGGTCTGAGGGTCTGATGGTCTGAGGGTCTGATGGTCTACAGCAGGTGTCATGGTCTAAAGAGGGTCTGAGGGTCTGAGGGTCTGATGGTCTGAGGGTCTGATGGTCTACAGCAGGTGTCATGGTCTAAAGAGGGTCTGAGGGTCTGAGGGTCTGATGGTCCAAAGCAGATCTGATAGCCTGGTGGTCTGGTGGTCTACAGACCTGGATTACTCCTGTTTGTTGCATCATGACTGATCCGGATCTGGATCTGCAGGTTTGGATCATTAGTTCTACAGTGTGTGTGTTGCTGCAGCGGTTGAGTCCAGTCTTAGCCTGTAGACATGGTCTCTTAAGAACCTGGATGGTTTCTGCAGGGTTAGAGACAGGGAGACACCAGCTGAGACAGGTGTCTTATTTTAGAACTGATTATGGTTTTAAAGGTTCTGGACTCTGGACCTGGACTGAGGTTTGATATTTGTGATGTCAGCTCAGCAGAGGTGGACCACGTGGCTGCACCATCACCTGGACTCAGGATCAGTAGAATCTGGATCAAAGTCTTCACACTGTGTCTGAATCAGAGCTGCACTGATCAGCTGATCAGTGATCAATTAATGAAGTTAACGAGTATTTTAATAAATCAAACGTTTGAGTCTTTGTTTTGACCTGTTTTATTATGTGACAGATGAATCATCACTGGACATGGTCCTGGTCCTGGTCCTGGTCCTGGTCCTGGTCCTGCAGCAGGTGCAGGTGTCAGTGAAGCCGTTAAATATGTGACTCAGTCTGAGACTTGACTCCAATCAACTACAGTCGTGTGTGTGTGTGTGTGTATGTATGTGTGTGTGTGTGTGTGTGTGTGTGTGTATGTGTGTGTGTGTGTGTGTGTGTGTGTGTGTTAATACATCATAAACAGTGACAGTCAGCAGGGGGCGCTGTGGTGCAGACACATCACGCAACACGTTTTAGAAACAGGCGTTTAACTCCTTAACGTCACCTGGAGGCCGAAGCCCTGCCTCCAACAGTCTGTCCCGGACCTGCTGCGGCCCGCTCAAAACTCCTCCTCCTCTCAATGATTGGCAGCCGGCAGCTCAGACGGAGGACTCGCGGGCAGTTTTGGATCGCAGAGCTCCGGCCTGGCTCAGGAAGGGGAAGGTGGTCCCGAGGCAGCCGGACGCCACGGTCAGACCCAGACTGGCCCAGGCGCAGCAGATGGACCAGCCGTACCCGTGGTCCACGTCAGCTGGCAGACCATAGATGAAGGGAGGATTCCTGGAGAGGTCGTAGGTCACGCTGGCTGCGTACGTACACAGAGAGATTGTGCAGAAGATCCCTGAGAAGAGAGACCAGATCAGAGACCAGATCAGAACACAGAGACCAGCTCAGAGACTGGACCAGGACTTGTCACTCTGACAAGGGGATCATGGGAGTCAATAAATAAAGACATGGATGTGAAGCTCCGCCCACATGTCATCACTCAGAAACACAGACGTCACGTGTCCATATGAGCATGGAAACAGGGTTTTCCTCCTGGTCATACCGGACCAGAACAGTCCACAGTCACTACCTGGACTCTGTCTATCCTTGACCAGATCCAGAACCCTGAGGAGCATTCCCCCCTCCCCCACTGAGTGTGTGTCCTGAGCTCTGATTGGCTACTGCTCTGGTCTGATATGTTGTTGTAGATCCTGACTGAGACCAGCAAAGGGCGCAACACACACACACGCACAAACACACACACACACACAAATACACAGTCCCAGGTGTGTTACCTGCCATGAGGAACAGCAGTCCGGACACGTGCTGCGTCAGACTCTCCTCCCAGAAGAACCCGACGGACGCCACGATGCTCCCACACAGGAGAACGGCCGCTGCCATGCCCAGGAACCCTGCTGTGATCCTCCGCAAGTCTGCACACACACACACACACACACACACACACACACACACACACACACACACACACACACACACACACACACACACAGAGCTGTCTGTAATGAACGTGGTAAATGAGGAAACACATAGAGCGTTGCTGTGGTAACCACCTCCGGCTCACCCCCCCACTGTCCCTCTGTACTGTTACATAAAACTTGTCATGGCACGTTTCCATGGCAACTGGTGACAAGTAGGAAGAAGCTCTGCCGACTGATCAAAGCTCAGGCATTAAAGGGCCAGTCTCACTAATAATGCATCTATAATCAATAATCTATAGTCTGTGATGTGAACAGCAATAGGAAGCTGAGAGGTTCAGTCTGACCAGTGTGTGTGTGTGTGTGTGTATCAGTGTGCGTGTGTGTGTGTGTGAGGTGTGTGTATGTGTGTGTGTGTGTGTGTGTGTGTGTGTGTGTGTGTGTGTGTGTGTGTGTGTGTGTGTGTGTGTGTGTGTGTGTGTGTGTGTGTATCAGTGTGTGTGTGTGTGTGTGTGTGTGTGTGTGTATCAGTGTGTGTGTGTGTGTGTGTGTGTGTGTGTGTGCTCACGCAGCAGGTGCCACTCGTCCTGTTGGATGGTCCTGGTCAGGTTCAGAGGGATGTTCCTCAGTCTGATTGGCTGAGAGAAGTGATACTTGACAGCTGTGCAGCGATCTGCGATACCTGCAGGGAGGGGGGGCGGGTCAGTTCCTGTGCTGAACCTGGACCAGTTACATGAACCTGGTTGGTCCCTCTCTGTCTGTGAAAACAGGTGTATGATGCTCTCTAATGATGTCATAGTGATGTCATCAGAATACAATGTCTACCATCCAGTCTGTGACACAAACTGCAGGTGTGGCGTTTACCAGCAGTAAGGCTCTATCCAGGTGCATTATGGGAAATGTAAAAGTCTGCAGCTGAGCAGCTCAGACGGACTCTGTCTCTCCAAACAGGGACAGGATGAAGAGACAGTGAAATGTTACAGAACATACAGAAAATAAAGAACATACAGAACATACAGAACGGTTAGAGAACCAGTTCTGCACACAGACCACCAGCATCAGTGGTGTCTGTGTTTGTTGTTGTTGGATCAATAGATCTAATCCGATCTGGGTTCAGGTCTAATGCAGTGTAATGATATGTAACATAATGTGATGTAATGTGATTTGGAGAGCTGTAATCTGATGTGTGGTATGTGTTGTCGGGTCCAGCTCCTCTCTGCTCACCAGCTCTCTGACCTCCAGGTTTAGGTCGGCAGCCTGCCAGAGACTGCAGAGACAAAACTGCACACGTCACTGTGACCCAGGAGTCCTTACTCCTGCAGAGACCACACAGTCCCAGTTTTACTGCTTCTGCACTGCTGGTTACCTTATGGGTTAGTCAGCTGGTCTCAACCTAAAACTGGCCTGCTGAGACCACTCCAAGACCACACTGAAACCAGTCCAAAGTTTACCTGGGAAGCTTCAGGTGTGAATGTGAGGAACAGTGTGAAAGTAAACAGGACAGTGTTATGAAAGAGAGTAGGACTGGGCGATATGGCCTAAAAGTAGTATAGCAATATTTTTAAGCTATATCGCGATATACGATAAAAATAGACCAAGAAAACTGTATGTAGAAAGACAGAGTTGCAGTAGCAGCAGCTCAGCTGCCGCGCACACGCAAGGCCGACAGTCTGTCCCAAGTTGTTTCTTTTCTGAACCAATTCGTCTGCCTCCATTTTAAGTTAACATTTCTAAACAGCGACAAATTCGCTTTGGCACTTCACTTTTTTCGCTCTCAAACACACACACCTCCTCACCTACAGCACACATGCAGGGAGTTTTCCGGATGGGTGGGGGAGCGTGTCTGTGAGAGGGAGAGAGCGAGCGGAGCGGAGAGCAAAGAAAACTTCATGCAAGCGTCTTAAAACAATTATGTGACAATTTATACTCGATGTACGCGATATTGTCATTTTATACATCCCACGCGGAACAAGCCGCGATACATCGAGTATATTCGATATATATCACCCACCACTAAAAGAGAGCATGGTTCCCAGTGGTTCAATCAAGACCAGGCTGAAACCAGTCTGAACTGTATTAGTATATACAGGTTCTAAGTGTTAATACAGTTTCTATATAATAGTATATACAGCTGTATGTATTAGTATATACAGGTTCTATGTGTTAGTATATACAGGTTCAACATGTTAATACAGGTTCTATATAATAGTAAATACAGCTGTATGTATTAGTATATACAGGTTCTATGTTTTGGGTTCTGTGTTAATATACAGGTTCTATGCATTAGTATATACAGGCTCTATGTGTTAATACAGGTTCTATATCATAGTATACACAGCTGTATGTATTAGTGAATCAACTGTCAGTGATGCATTCATGATGTCATGGTAAACACTGTGTATACATAAGAGCATATGGGAAAGTATATAAAGGTTCTATGTCTTAGGTTCTACATGTTAATACAGGTTCTATATAATAGTATACACAGCTGTATATATTAGTATATACATGTTCTATGTGTTAGTATATACAGGTTCTATGTGTTAGTATATACAGGTTCTATGTGTTAGTATATACAGGTTCAACATGTTAATACAGGTTCTATGTGTTAGTATATGCAGGTTCTATGTGTTAGTATATACAGGTTATATGTGTTAGTATATACAGGTTCAACATGTTAATACAGGTTCTATGTGTTAGTATATGCAGGTTCTATGTGTTAGCATATACAGGTTATATGTGTTAGTATATACAGGTTCTATGTGTTGTTAGTATATACATGTTCTATGTGTTAGTATATACATGTTCTATGTGTTAGTATATACAGGTTCTATGTGTTAGTATATACAGGTTCAACATGTTAATACAGGTTCTATGCAATAGTATACACAGCTGTATGTATTTGTATATACAGGTTCTATGTGTTAGGTTTTACGTGTTAATACAGATTCTATATAATAGTATACACAGCTGTATGTATTAGTATATACAGGTTCTATGTTTTGGGTTCTATGTGTTAATATACAGGTTCTATGCATTAGTACATACAGGTCCTATGTGTTAATACAGGTTCTATATAATTGTATCATACAGCTGTGTGTATTAGTATATACAGGTTCTATGTCTTAGGTTCTACATGTTAATACAGGTTCTATATCATAGTATACACAGCTGTATGTATTAGTGAATCAACTGTCAGTGATGCATTCATGATGTCATGGTAAACACTGTGTATACATAAGAGCGTATGGGAAATGCAGCAGTATATAAACAGTATCTGACCCCGGTCGATGAGCTTGTCGATGTCCGGGTCCAGGCCCTTGAAGTAGCACTTCCTCCACAGGCCGGAGTGTGTGGAGAACAGCGGCCTGCCGCACTCGGTCTCCAGGATGCCCATCCCCAGGATGGCTCGCCAGTTCTCCAACAGCTCCTCCTCTCTGCTGCCCACATGCACGGGCTTCATCAGCGCCACGTCCCGCTGCCGGGCCCCGCCGCTGCCGGTGTCCACCAGCGGCAGGTGGTAAATGGGCATCTCCCGGTTCTTTTGATCGTTGGAGTCGGATCCGTGTCGGTCGCAGTTGTCCTTGTGCCTGCGGGTGTCGGTCTCGTACCAGTGGTCGGTGGAGATGGCGGTGACCAGCAGCAGCAGGGACAGCACGCTGAGCGACAGGCTCACCGCGGAGACTGTCACCGTCGCCGGACGGGCTCTCTCCATGGCCGGGACATGAACCGAGCCGCTCCCGGAGCAGGTCCCGGTGCTGCTGTTCGCTCCGTTGCCGCCGCTGTTTCCGTTACTGGGCATCTTCTGCTGCCATTCTCGCGTCCGTCAGCCGTTCCCCGTTTGCCCTCGAGAGCGCGTTGTCATGCCGACTGAAGGACCATCAGAGCTCTGTGAAGGTGAACGCAGGTAATGCGCAGCAGCACCGGAAGACAACCGAGAGCGCCTTCAAAATAAAACAGAAATTCAAGTCGATTTTTATTTCCATATACAGAGCGTATAGAGTTCATGATGTCACAACAGAGACAAACACAGAAATCACTTCAGGAGGAACGACAGAGCCACTAGGGATATGTACTGTTGGCCTACATGTGGAGCCTAAAAATAAATAATAATAAAAATAGCCTAAGTAGATAATAAATACATAAATAATGGACCTCAGTAGAGTGCAAGGCCAAGCAATCCTACACGTGTCCAGATCACTATTATTATTATTATTATCATTATTATTATTATTATTATTATTATTATCTGGGTCTGCACAAAACTCTCTAAACACCATTAATATGGATAGTATAGATCCAAACATTATTTCCTGAGAAATTGACTAAAATAATAATGATAATATTGATTAAAATAACAATAATATGTATAATAATGATACTAGTAATAATAATAATAATATGTATAATAATAATTAAACACTTTGGCTCCATAATTAAAAATCTGATAAACAAATGAGAAGATGTTCCGTATTTCAGATGAACTGATGATGAACGAATGAATGGACCCTACTGTTTGTAGGGAGTTTGATCAGTGTTTCTGTGCAACTGTTGCTGTACGACTGTTACTTTAGAAATGAGTTAGTTAAGGTAGCTACAGTCCCTCAGACAAATGTGTTGCATTAACAGAGAGAAACTGCAGTGAAGTTAGAAAAATGTATCCTTAAAAATCCTTTAAAATTCTTCATGAATATATTTTACCAGGAACAATAAAGAAGTTTTTATTGTGTCACACTGTAGGTTTACAAGATATCAGGATTAGAGTCCAAAAAATATATGATACTAACTCACAAAACTATATAGAAATATATAGAAATTCCAGACTAAATGGTTATTTTTTTTCATTTTGAGTGTTTGTTATTACATGGCCTTAAAATCCTGCACCTGCAGACTCAGGAACAGGTTCAACACCTGTGAACTGAAACCTGAACCTACAGCTGGTCGCTCTGCTGGGAACCTCACTCCACCAGAGAATGTGGGATAACGTCTCTGCAGATATTCACTGTTCCAGTGAAACATTAATGATGCAATAATATTCTAAATACTCAAGGACATCAGCTTGTGTGTGTGTGTGTGTGTGTGTGTGTGTGTGTGTGTGTGTGTGTGTGTGTGTGTTGTAAAACTGAACTGTTTATAAACAACAGAAGAACAGAAGAAGATTATAGTTATACATTTATGTTGGAATGTTGGGTCTCTGTATGTCCATGAATGTTCAGTCTAGACCTGCTTTATATGAAAAGTGCTCGGAAGTAACTTCTGTTATGATTTGGCTCTAGAAAGAAAGAAAGAAAGAAAGAAAGAAAGAAAGAAAGAAAGAAAGAAAGAAAGAAAGAAAGAAAGAAAGAAAGTTTTATTTTGAAATCTGACAGTGGAAGTTCAGATGTGACATCACTGCTGGTGACTTCACAACACACTGAGCTGGGTGTGACAGTCTCTCTCTCCTTCATTAACTTCACACTCAGATTCTAATAATAAATAATATGAATATTAGTGATGATGAGAATGAACAGAATCTGTTTCTTTAATGATCTGACTGAGGTTAAGATCAGCTGTTTCTAAAGTAAAGTCTGAGTAGAGTCTGAGTAGAGTCACAGTAGAGTCTGAGTAGAGTCACAGTAGAGTCATAGTAGAATCTCAGTAGAGTCTGAGTAGAGTCACAGTAGAGTCATAGTAGAATCTCAGTAGAGTCTGAGTAGAGTCACAGTAGAGTCACAGTAGAATCTCAGTAGAGTCTGAGTAGAGTCACAGTAGAGTCACAGTAGAGTCACAGTAGAGTCTCAGTAGAGTCACAGTAGAGTCTGAGTAAAGTCACAGTAGAGTCACAGTAGAATCTCAGTAGAGTCTCAGTAGAGTCACAGTAGAATCTCAGTAGAGTCACAGTAGAGTCTGAGTAAAGTCACAGTAGAATCCCAGTAGAGTCACAGTAGAGTCTGAGTATAGTCACAATAGAGTCTTAGTAGAGTCACAGTAGAGTCTGAGTAGAGTCACAGTAGAATCTGAGTAGAGTCTGAGTAGAGTCACAGAGTCTGAATACAGTATGAGTACAGTCACAATAAAGTCTGAGTAGAGTCACAATAGAGCCTTGATAGAGTCACGGTAGACTCTGAGTAGAGTCACAGTAAAGTCTGAGTAGAGTCACAGTAAAGTCTGAGTAGAGTCACAGTAAAGACACAGTAGAGTCTCAGTAGAGTCTGAGTAGAATCTGAGTAGAGTCACAGTAGAATCTGAGTAGAGTCACAGTAAAGACACAGTAGAGTCTCAGTAGAGTCTGAGTAGAATCTGAGTAGAGTCACAGTAGAATCTGAGTAGAGTCACAGTAGACTCTGAGTAGAGTCACAGTAGAGTCTGAGTAGAATCTGAGTAGAGTCACAGTAGAATCTGAGTAGAGTCATAGTAAAGACACAGTAGAGTCACAGTAGAATCTGAGTAGAGTCACAGTAAAGACACAGTAGAGTCTCAGTAGAATCTGAGTAGAGTCACAGTAAAGACACAGTAGAGTCTCAGTAGAGTCTCAGTAGAATCTGAGTTGAGTCACAGTAGAATCTGAGTAGAGTCACAGTAAAGACACAGTAGAGTCTCAGTAGAGTCACAGTAGAATCTGAGTAGAGTCACAGTAGACTCTGAGTAGAGTCACAGTAGAGTCTGAGTAGAATCTGAGTAGAGTCACAGTAGAATCTGAGTAGAGTCACAGTAAAGACACAGTAGAGTCTCAGTAGAATCTGAGTAGAGTCACAGTAAAGACACAGTAGAGTCTCAGTAGAGTCTCAGTAGAATCTGAGTTGAGTCACAGTAGAATATCAGTAGAGACACAATAGAGTCACTTTAGAGTCTGAGTAGAGTCACATTAGAGTGTCAGTAGATTTATCATTTGGGGGTGAGGGTTAGGGGGGCAAGGGTTGGGCGGGGTCATGGTTGGGGGGGTGAGGCATTGATGGGACGGGTCCAGCAGAGAGGTGAATCTTTAGATTTCCTGATGGACCCAAACTACTCACTGTTAGGAAATTCAGTTGCTTTGTTTGTTTGAGGCGTTCACAGTCACAACTGATAATCAGACATCACATACAGACACACAGACACTGGAGATGCTCCATGCTGGCTTCAGGGTCTCCTCACTGCCGACGAAAACAATTAATAACATTAATTAGACAGAAATCACTGATATAAAAACCGTGATGTTAAATTAAAATTTAAACATTCACATTTTAAGACTATAATTTTAAAGTTTAACAACAATGTAAGATAAATTACTACAAAACATTTTCCTCGTCTTCAAACAGCCTTTTAAAAGGTGTTAATTATTCTTTCCTTTTTCTTTATTGTTATTATTATCATTATGATTATTATTATTATGGTCAGTCACAGACTCAGTTTTAAATGTCTCCCTCACTTTATCACGTCCTATTTTTTCCCGCGTCTATTTTCATGTAGTTTGTAGATTAGATTTCCATTTCTCCCTCGCTCCCTGAAGGCGTCTCCATCCCATCCAGTCGCCGTGTCTTACAGTGCGCATGCTCCTGGAAGGAGCCATGTTAAAGTTGTGTTGACAGTGTCTGTTGTGTCTGTTAGTCCGGGTCGGTCCTGATCGGTCCGAGTCCCTGGCCCAGGAAGATGAGCTGCTGTCCGGACATCTCCCGCAGGAACCCGCAGGAGGACTTCCAGCTGATCCAACGCGTCGGCAGCGGGACGTACGGTGACGTCTACAAGGTATAGACAGCGACGTCACTGACGTGTTAGCTTAGCATCAGTTAGCTCAGAGCGGGTTTAACACGGTGTGTGTGAAACTGATCAATAAGAGATAAATCAGTAGACTAATGGCGTGCGATGACGTTAGCTCAGGTGTGGGTTCTCTGGACCCCGTCCTGTATCAGATCCATCAGGTGTGCAGGAAGCTGAGGAGACAGGGTTCACCTGGCGACCACAGGTCTGACAGCCAATAGGAAGAGAGGAAGCTCCTCAGCAGGTGTGTGCGTGTTATCTTGAACACCATTGGCTGATAGCACAGATGTGTAGGTGTGGTCTGCAGAGCACAACAAGTTCAGTCATTACATCATTTTTAATTGAACTTTACGTAACCAGGTGAATCTGCCTGAGGTGAGCAAGGTTACACCTGGTCAGGTGACAGATCTGTCCTCACATCTAACATCAATTCACTAACGAGCTCAGCTGCTCGTTACACTGGCTGGCTGCTGATTACAGCCGGAGCTGATCAGCACCATGTTCCTTATTGAGTGCTGGGGTAGTGTGGTTGAGTCTGGAGACTCTCTCTCTGTCAGTCAGGATGAGGTTGGTCCTGTCTCCATGACAAACTGGTGACTGAGGCCTCATGGGAAATCTCAGGTGACTGTCGGAGTCGAAACTCAACGTGACGGCAGAAAAAATGAAAGTTTGACCATTAAGTTGATCAATAATTCAGTAGTGTCCCCGCAGGGCTCTGCTTCCTGTAACACGACCCCCACCCCTCCACCCCTCCTCACCCTGGAGTCTCCCACCTTGACTTTGACCTCTGATTGGCTGTCAGTATCAGAGCTAATAGTAATATTATTGATTATCATTCTGATTGATTCTCAAGGAATCAATCAGTGTTTTAGAAACAGTCCAGATTCAGTCCTGGTCGAGTCAGACTTGGTCCAGATTCAGGCCTGGTCTAGAGTCAGAGTCAGTCCTGGTCCTGGTTCACACTGTTGAATTCTTCCAAACATGTTCTGCTGGGTGGCGGTACGGTGGTACAGTGGTTAGCAGTTGCCTCACAGTGAGAAGGTTGTGGGTTCAAACCCCGGGCCTGGGGGGGCTCAGCAGTTGGATGTAGTTCCTCGGTCGGCCATTTTTCTAATTTTAAACAAAGTCTTAATTTACCCAGAATTCATTGCACCATAGTCTGGTCTAAGAGAGAGCGAGCTGCTGATCAGTGATTCAACACACAGAAACACTCCTCCCCCTCACCTTCACTGATCAATACCTGGGGGGGGCGTTTCCCACGATCCTCTGCTCCTCTGCTCCTCTGCCCTGCTCTGTGTGTGTGTGTGTGTGTGTGTGTGAGAGTGTGTGATTAGCATTGTTAGCATCAGACTGAAGACCCCTCCCCCCATCAGAAGTTATTGATTGTCATCTTGAAGCTCCATCAGCTTGTATCGACCGACAGGACGGACGCTGCTGCTTCACCTTCCACAGGGTCGGGGGGGGGTCATAGGAGGGGGTGGGGTGGGGCGGGGTTATTGGATGGGGCAGTTTGGATGAGGGGGGTGAATATCATGAGCTGTGTTTTAATTACCACTCAGTAAGAGCAGCAGCAGCAGTCTGAGGTGTGAACATGATCAGAGTTAAAGTGCTGAAACTGCAAAACTATGGAGGTCAGGAAGGAGGGGGAAGGGGAGGGGGGCAGCAGGAGGGGGAGGATCGATCGGTGGCAGCCTGTCCTCCATCAGATCCCCAGATCCCTGCAGACAAGTTCAGCATCACCTTCAGTCCCGGAGTGTCAGACAGGACAGCTGATGATTGACCTTCATCTTTTCTTCGTTTGTTCTTTTCTTTCTAAAACGTCAACGTCGCGACTCTGGAACGGACAGAAAGATCTGAACGCTTTAACGACAGCTGCCACTCTGTGGTGATTATCAGCACTTCCTGTAGCTGTTTCAAAGTAAAAGTCTTCCAGTGGTTCTTGACTCATGTTCATTAAAATTATCTAGTGTGACTAATCAAATCTGATTAGTAATATAAGTTAGATTATTCTGAAACCTATTTCTGTACTATTAATAATAATCTGATCAATACCTGATCAATATATTATTAATATTATTATTAGTTTCAACTAATAATAATGAACTTGACCTCCAGCGTTTCTCCGTGATAAGACGTCGTATTGATAATCATCTTATTGATCAGTTTTGACATGAACTGAACTATGTTCAGCCAACACCCACACACACTCGCTGCTGCAGAGGTGTGTGAGCCCTGAGGACGCATTAACTGATCAATGCTTCTGCTGCAGTGTGAGACCTCTCTCTTCTTCTTCTTTGATTGAATGTGAAGCAGCTGATGTTGCAGAAGGTTTAAACACAAACGTGAAACCAGCTGATTCTTCACCTGATTCTTCACCTGATGATTCTGTGTCTGTTAGGCGAGGAGCGTCAGCACTGGAGACCTGGCCGCCATTAAGGTCATCACACTTGAGCCTGGTAGGAATCAAACCAGCAACACCACTGCACCACTTCACACTGTTATTGTATGTCACTCTCCCTGTGTGTGTGTGTGTGTGTGTGTGTGTGTGTGTGTGTGTGTGTGTGTGTGTGTGTGTGTGTGTGTGTGAGTGTGTGTGTGTGTGTGTGTGTGTGTTGGAGAACACTAGTGTTTTACAAACTGTCTTTATGAACAGAAACAGACACGCAGAGACCATCACTGTTCAGATCCCTTCACTATTTAAGGTGGACTGGGGTTGTCACTGACAGGAGTTAGTAGTTTTAAGGTGGACTGGAGGTGTCACTGACAGGAGTTAGTAGTTTTAAGGTGGACTGGAGGTGTCTCTGACAGGAGTTAGTAGTTTTAAGGGGGACGGGAGGTGTCACTGACAGGAGTTAGTAGTTTTAAGGTGGACTGGAGGTGTCTCTGACAGGAGTTAGTAGTTTTAAGGTGGATTGGAGGTGTCTCTGACAGGAGTTAGTAGTTTTAAGGTGGACTGGAGGTGTCACTGAGGAGTTAGTAGTTTTAAGGTGGACTGGAGGTGTCTCTGACAGGAGTTAGTAGTTTTAAGGTGGACTGGAGGTGTCTCTGACAGGAGTTAGTAGTTTTAAGGTGGACTGGAGGTGTCTCTGACAGGAGTTAGTAGTTTTAAGGTGGACTGGAGGTGTCTCTGACAGGAGTTAGTAGTTTTAAGGTGGATTGGAGGTGTCTCTGACAGGAGTTAGTAGTTTTAAGGTGGACTGGAGGTGTCTCCGACAGGAGTTAGTAGTTTTAAGGTGGACTGGAGGTGTCACTGACGGTCTTGATGGGTGCTGTTTTCTCTGCAGGATGATAAAAATAGAATGAGTTGAAGTTGAAGGAGTCACTGGTCAAACTGACTGAATGAAAGAATCTGTAGAGACACATGAAGACGTGCCAGTGACAACAGATGGACTGAAATATTAAATCAGATCACAGGAATTCGGCCTCTTAATGTAACAGGGATGATTGACATTCTGACAGTCACAGGTCAGCTTTTTAAAAACATGCTGTTTCTCTGAGTGATGTGAGGAGCCAAAGTTTGTCTTTAATCTGTTGGATATAAAAACATGCAAGTCACTGACTGACTGAGGAAAAAGGATTTCCACCAACAAGCTGTAAAGAAATGAGTTGTGATCCAGCAGCAGAGTGAGACCTCTCCTCTAACATCAGCTCACAGCAGAGCTTCCACTTTAATGAGATGTTACATAAATCCTCCATATTTATTCTGATCAGCTGGAGGAGGACGTGGAGGTTTTAATGAGGCCTGAAGGCGGCAAAGATCCACAACAAAGACTCTTTGTTCCGTGTTGTCTTCCCTCAACGTTCATTCTGAACATATTCATCTGATAACAGACACACCTGTCTGCACACTGAGTAGGTAATGATGCTGGGACTTTACTTGTGTGTGTGTGTGTGTGTGTGTGTGTGTGTGTGTGTGTGTGTAGGTGAGGACTTTGCGGTGGTGCAGCAGGAGATCCTAATGATGAAGGACTGTAAACACTCCAACATTGTGGCATACTACGGCAGCTACCTCCGGTAACTGTTACCATGCCAACAGCATCAGGACCACAAGACATCAGACAGACTGATCAGCCTCACTGATGCTGTGTGTGTGTGTGTGTGTGTGTGTGTGTGTGTGTGTGTGTGTGTGTGTGTGTGTGTGTGTGTGTGTGTGTGTAGCAGGGAGAAGTTGTGGATCTGTATGGAGTTCTGTGGAGGAGGATCACTGCAGGACATCTACCACAGTGAGACACACACACACACAACCACGCTCTTATATTGGTAGTTTTGTCCGTCCTTCCTGAAAGTACCACCTTAAAGCTCTGCCTGTTTACATTCTCCGAGTCACATGTTGAAGTCCAGAGACATTCAAGTGAACTGGGAGAAAAAAGAGAATGAGGCTTAAATTAGGATGAAAAGAGAATGATGAAAGAGATAAAACATGTGAAATGCTGATGTTTGACTTTTCCACTGGTGAACTGATTGTATTGATTGAATGTAAACATCATGTGAACACGTCACACTTCCTGTCGTCGGAATAAAACCGGCACTCTGCTCTGATGACATCATGATGTCACGTCTGTCAAGTTGACACACTGATCAACAAACAACAAATTTCAGTCTGAGGCCTCCATCTTTAAATCTGTAGCTCTCTGTCCGCCTGCAGCAGTCGCCAGGGCGACACCCACACTGCCTTTATCTCGCCGCTCGTTAAGGCCTTGATTCGTTCGGCTGCCAATTTGTCCAAGCCGGGGGCGTCAGAGGTATCGTTAATGAGGCCCAGCGGTGAAACGCATGCTGCTCGCCCTCATTAAACCTAAGTGACATCTCCAAGGGAGAACGGGGGCTCCACACACCTCCACACTGCCCCCCCACAGAGAGAGAGGGGACGAGGGTGACCACAGGCCGACCCCCCACAGACAGATAACGAACCAAAGTTTGACTGTGAATGTCTCACAGCTCAACACACACACACACACACACACACACACACACACACACACACACACCTCTGAACCAAACTAAAGAACTATATCATCTTTGTGTTCATGATGAGTGTTAGAGCCCCGCCCCCCTCCAGTCAGTGATGATGTCACCTGTCACAAGTTGTTTTTTCAATGCAACTGTGACTTCCTGTTAACGATGGTCTGTGGGCTGATGGGAGATATTAGATAAAGATTTTAGTCCTGATCCAGGACTGGATTGTTATTTGTGTTATAATGAGGTTTCACGTTGTGGACTGAACCTGGTTCTGTGTTTGTCCTCCAGTAACCGGTCCGCTGACAGAGTCTCAGGTTGCCTACGTCCTGCGGGAAACTCTGCAGGTATCGTCCAATCAGACTCTTAGACTGTTCAGCTCGTGTTCAGTCAGATTGTAGAACACTGTGTCCTGTGTCCTCAGGGTCTCTTCTACCTGCACAGTAAAGGAAAGATGCACAGAGACATCAAGGTGAGACTTACAGTATGGACCAATCAGCTGAAGAGTTTGTGATGACATCATGACTTATGTCTTTGTGAATAAATAACAACTGTCAATAAAGTTTTGAAGTGAACTGACAAAACGTCACAGTTTCATGTTCATGTTCAGTTCAGTGTGTGTGTGTGTTGTACTCACCTGGAGGGGGCGGGGCTCCAGCAGCAGCTGACAGTGTGTTGTGTCTGCAGGGAGCAAACATCCTGCTGACTGATAACGGATACATCAAACTGGGTGAGTCAGCTGTCAGGTAGGCTCCGCCCACTGAACAGGTAGAGGGGCGGGGATTATCAGTGAATCTCCTGCTGACTATCTCTGATGTGATGTCATTGGTGCGATGTGTGATGTCATCATTAAGTACAATAGAAGTTTGTAATTAATGAATAATGAATCCCCCCCGACCTGTGTGTGTTGTAGCGGACTTCGGCGTGTCAGCTCAGATCACCATGACCATCGCTAAGAGGAAATCCTTCATCGGGACTCCGTACTGGTACGACCTTCCTCCTCCTGTCACCCGTTTCCATGGTGATGACAGCAGCTTTTCTCTCCGGTTTCTTCAGTCGGGGATTATTTATTATTATTTCAGGATGGCTCCAGAGGTGGCGGCGGTGGAGAGGAAGGGTGGATACAACCAGCTGTGTGACATCTGGGCCGTCGGCATCACCGCCATCGAACTGGCAGAGCTGCAGCCGCCCATGTTTGACCTCCACCCCATGAGGTGTGTGTGTGTGTGTGTGTGTCTTCATATGTATGTATGTTTGTATATTGTATATGTGATTTAGGAGGCGTCTGATTGGTCCCAGGTTCATTACATACAGCCACAGTCATAAACGCCCCCTCCCCCGCCCCGCCCCACACACACACACACA